AGAGAGAGAGAGAGAGAGAGAGAGAGAGAGAGAGAAAGAGAGAGAGTTCAGAATATAGACCAGGAGATAAATAGGCTTACGGCTTACAGTATACATGTACTTGATAAAATAAATAATGTACATGTGAGGCAAAGAGTCATAAAAAGGGTGGTTGGCGGATGCTCTGGTGTGGTTTGCTCCTTCTTTCTCATCAAACACCTATCACCCTGATCTCTCTCCTTCTTTTTTATGTTTGTTCTTTTCTTGTAACACTTCTAATCTTCGGCACTTGTATGACCTTATTGTGTTGCAAGTGCCGTATAACTCTTTCTAAAACAGAAAAGACTCGAATCATAAAAGTGTGCCGGTTGTCAAAATCAGAAAACAGGTACATGTACTTGAAATTAATATACAAGTCATAGGAGGAGAGGGGAAAGAGGGAGAAAAAGGGTTCTTTATTTAGAAACAGAGCTTCGAAAATTCGCTGGCAAACCTATACATGTATTAATTTTACTGCATAAACCTTTTTGTCTGATGCTGTATTTTTATTTATTTTTTAGAAATAAGTGTTTTTACGAGCTCGCAACTGCATACCGCTATATGAGCGCGCAGGACACATTTTCAGTATGGTAGAAAACTGACTTTAGCCCGGGTAGCGGCCGAAGCCTCTGTTGTCGATTTCGAGACGAAAGCAGACGACAGAATCGTCAGAGAGCAGGAAAGAAGGTGAAAGGAAATTTTCGAGAAGAAAATTTTCCGTCTCTCTCTGGATTCGAACCCGTGACCTATTGAATGAGAGGCAAACGCCGTCACCTCTCAACCACGAGAGCCCCTGAATTTGTGTCTATTTTGGTTTAAGAAGATAATAATATTTTTGGTTAGTAACCCATACAATTTCCTACAAGCTTGACATTAGTCGCCTCATCTGAAAGGCCACACCTCAATATTATTGATGGGATGCAGTCTTTGTTAGCCAGAAGTAAGTCTTTTGTAAGTCTGCCCTTTGTATTAATAGTAGTGCTGTTAGAACAACATGCCTTTGTTTGAAGGGTCGTACAAGTATTATATTGATTTATTTATTGTATAAAATGAAAAGGTGTTTTGAAAAATTCGCTTCAAGACAATTGTTTCGTTTATTTATGA